ATTTACAGTAGCAAGTCAATAAGTACCAATGATTCCCAAGTTGCTTCTCTTGTACCATATTTGGTCCTAAATAGGTCTTGACCAGTCGGTCCGACCGGTGAAAACGGGACCCAGCCTCTAGTACGGTCCGGTCAGTCTATTTAACCGCAACGGATGAAACAACCAGTTTATTCACCGACTGACCAGTTAACTGGTTAGTATCCTAATAACCATAACCAGATTCTTAAGGGACCAGAAAAAACCAGTCACATATGAGGGAGCTGGGATTCAAACCCAGTACCTCGTGGTGATTAGTTTGGCGGTTAAACCAATAGTGTTATCACTAATTTGTGTTGTAAAACCTAATAATCTTAGTATAAATCTGTCACTTAATGTTAAGTTTTGAAATAATCTAATTAAATAGTGTTCTTAACTTTTGCAAAATCACGTATATTATACTTAAGTAATTTATATTTCTGTAAAATGATAATCTTTACTTGTCCCATAAATAATTTGTTATAAATATATTAGAATCAATATATAATTCTAACACGGTTAATGGTATCTACTTACAATATTTTTATTTATTAGACACCGGTTTGTTAACGGGTTTATAACGACTTAGTATCAGTTAAACCAATAAAGTGTGAACCGCTTACTATACCGGTTGATACACCGGTTCGATTCTTACAACATTGATGATAACTGATTTTAAATAGGTCTCGGATGAGATAGAATAGAACAAATGGTAATATACCTAATTTTATGATCATGAGCCCAATTGGGAATAGCTTAGTCGAAGGCTCGAATTTGATTTAAAGATTGAAGTGAACGAAGGCTAAAAATAAATTTAGATTGAAATGAATTGGGTTTGGAAGAGTCACTTGAACTTTATGAGACATTTTGCATTGCATCATAATAATTATCTAGCATTAAAGGCTAATGGCATAGATTATTACATGTACAATTACAAATAATGAATTACAAATTACACTAGGTAATTTTACATTTGAAAGAGGAACAAAGAAATAGAAAATTGAAATTAAAACAATGGAAAATCCCTCTCATTTGGGCACCAATCAGACTTGGAGGCCCAACTCATTTTGAGTCATTAGTCCTCCTTAGGTCATCACTTTTAGTCATAAACAAATCAAGTACCTGCAAAGACAAAGACAAAATCAGTCAGATCAAGCCCGCAACTCCAGGCTTAACTCTCCCAACTCGGCCCGAAGTCACGTGCCAATCTTATCCTGAACTGACACTGACCAGTCAAGACCGACTAAGTCTGGTGGAGGTCTCACAATTGGACTCAAATTCAACGAGTCACCAATTGACACGTTACACGTCTTTTTTGTTATAAATGAGTTCTTTTTGGCGCTTTGTTTTGGGGGACGGGAGGAATTAAAAAAAAAAACACTTACAAAAATAGACAATCAGAAACAATTTTCTTTATTTCCACTTTTCTTGATTAATAGATAACAACAACAAAAACAAATCGAACCCATGGACGTGTTTTAAAACACCTCTTTTTGTTTAAGTTACTCCCTTTTTAGATCCATTGGATCTAAACTCAGATTCGACGAAATACCAACATATTAATCTTACTAAAACTTTAGTTTTCTTTTAGTTAAATTTGATCACAAGTAGTTGTTAGAATCATTAAAAATTAGTCTAGCTTTGTTTTTCAACCCCATCCAACAAAAGCTCCGACACTACATTAAATTTTGGGTTTAGCAAACCCAATCATGTAACCAAATCCTAATTTTAGAGGTAAGCTTTCCATCAATCAGACGCTCATGAGCATTGGCTATGGCTTAAATTCGGATTGAAACTTCCCATCAATAGGATGGTCATAAGCACTGGCTTTGGCCTTGAGTTTACTATAGATTCATTTTAGAAAGTGAAAATTTAACAAAACCAGTAACGTTTTTAAAAACATCACAATAAAATGTTTTAGCTAGATAACAATCAGTTAGTTCGAACTAAATCTGGGATTGGGACACCCAAACAGCTTAATAAACAAAACTAAATCCTAGACCTCTAACACCCACAATCTAGTCTAAGTTTAGAAAAATATCACCTAGTGCCTCTTCAAATCGTAGAGATCTGTAAAAAAACAAGCAACCGAGAATTAGAACCCAAAAACAGTGGTAATAAACCAAAGCCCATAATAACAAAAATCAAGATAAAAAACCTACCAAAGCCAAACCCTCGCCGTCGTTTCTGGTGTAGGCCGCACCGCCGAGACTTCTGTTTCTCCTTTCCTTTCATGGGTAGAGACCAAAAAATCCAAGAAAACAAAATTGGGGTTAAGATTTCGATCGAACCCAGAAATCAGAAAAACAACCAATAAACCAAAAAAAACAAAGAAAACATATCCGAGCCTACCATCATTTTGGCTAGCCAAGAGGAGAGAGAGAGAGACCAAAATTGGGTTTCCGTCCTCCTTTTCTTTCGTTTCTCAGAAGGGGGAGCGAACGTGAGAGAGGGAGAGGTCGTGTTCTTCTTCCTCTCCTCTCCATTACCCCTCCCCCCTTCTTTTTTCTTGGCACGAGATGTCGTTACACCATACACAGTAGGCGCTAGGGTTTCTAACTATTTATGCGGCCTTGTCACTGCGTTTTTGGGAAGTTACGAAATTTTCCTTCGCCCCGTCCTGCACTAAAACGATAATCCACAAAAATTGTAGTTAGAGAGTTTCAAACCCCCATTCTCGGGAACGAACGCGCTCTATGACTCACAATTTAACTAGTTGGGCTGCTGGCCCATCATGCGTAAATCTAATCATTTTGTTTAACTTTGTTGTTTGGTATGAAATATTGAATGCGGATTAAGCGAATTCTATTTCTTTTCTAACACATCAAATTTCTTCTTGAATAACTGAAATTTATATGTCCTCTTTTCATAAATTCCATAAAAATCAACTTGAATGTTATTAACAAAAAAATCCTTAATACGAGAACAACGACCAGTGGAACGTGGTAAAAGTTACATTTAAAATTATCAAAATCTTAACGAACTACGTGGACTTTGATCCTGTATTACAGGTACATAAGTAACCGCTAAGGTTCGAGTCCAACTAACTAACAAAATTTATCTTTTAAATGAATGCCAATGAGCGTATAATTAAATCATAAACTAATACAATATGATTTTAAAAGCCCAGTGGGGCCCAAAATATACCTAATCATAAACTAATATGTCAGCGGATGTTAAGTTAAACCATATTTAATGAATTAGAAATACATTAATGGTCCAGTGGGACCCAAAAATACATAATCACTAAAACACACCCAACTCGTATAAAAACTTATCGACTTAAGTAGTACTAATTTTGGGTGTTGTGGGGTGTGATTTCACTTCCCCAACGTAACCGTACTCCCGAACCTAGATTTCTATATCTCTAAATCACAGAACAAGCCTCGATTCTAACCCCAAGGTTAGAGCCGACCTAAGAGAGTTAGATCCACTCCAAGTAAGATCGATGGCGACTCCAAAAAGCGAACGTGAACCGGCCCTGGAGGGACGGTAGCGACAGGAAAGAGGTCGACCTTTTAATTTAGTCATATACAAAATGGTGAACAGTAAAAAAAAAAAAAAAAAAAGAGATCGACCACTTCAGGGTAGTTACCAAAATGGTCATTACCATATCTACAATGAGGTCGACCATTTCCAGTAAGAGGTCGACCAGATTAAAGAAGAGTCGTCAACACATCAATCCAACCCTCTTGAAGTGAAACGTAGAGGAAAATGTTGATTTTGTGGTCGACCGTTTACAGTAAAATAAGTCCGCGACTTTGAATTTTATGCTTATGTCTGTCAATGTATGTACTTTGTTTGGTCTAAAGAAATTATGATAGAAACCAACAAATACAACCCACGATTATACTATCAAGAAACCATAACTTCTTAACAACTTAATCACTAACACCAAATACAATAAAACACACCTCACAAATAGTTCACAAATGCCTAAAATCGAAAACCACAATGGCTTAATATCAATCCACGACCACAGTTACTTAAAACCAAATCGTATTTAAGACTTAACAAATTTCACCACAAAAAATACAATCTAAATCGTGGAGTTCCTAGACCTCTTTCCTACTCATCCACATTTTCCTCATTGGTATTGCCAGCATTATGGTAGTCGGATGTGGTTGCATGTATCTTCCACTGAAAGATCAGAATTCATCTCGCATCTCTATTATACTCACTTGTAGTGTGCTCATGTGGCTGGGCTTTGAGCTATGGTATTGTATATGGGTTTAATATAATGGGTATTACGGGTGTACCCATACTACCCAAATGAGTATTAGCGTGTAACCATGGGTACCCATTGTCAAAAAATTTAATCCCAAGTCTCATCCCGTAATAAGTAGTATGGGTATTTGGGTACTCGTACCCCTCAAAAAACGGGTCGGGTATGGGTATATCAAATACCCGTTTCCCGTTGCCCACCCCTAGATAATTCTGAGTTCGATGTTGATAAGGTAATGCAATAGAGGTTGACCCTTTTAAAAATGAGGTGGACCATTTAATATATAAGGCCGACCGCTTTAAGATTGAGGTCTACCTTTTTTATTGTTTGCTTGCTAAAGAGGTCGACCATTTCATATACAAGGTCGACCCCTTTGGTGAACGTAACAAACAAAAACAGTAGATTCGGACGACCTTTATTACTTTGCGGTCAACCTATTTGTGCAAATCTCCGTAGCAAAGTCCAAAACAATTTCTCTACTTTAAAGAATAAAAAATTTGTTTAAGCATATTTTCAGACTTCAGTAAATATGCTCAAAGGTGAAAATAAATCAAAATTATCCTCCAAAGTCCAAACCACTTATATTCACAAACAAGTGACTTGTCCTATACCATAGTGGTACATTAATCAATCGCGCTTGATTAATTGTGGCACATTAAGCTTGACTAGTTGGTCTGATTTTATAAAAGATTTTAGTGATTTGGTTAAGTGGCTTCATTTGCTCATAGACTTTACTACTTAATTAGTCAAAACCGACAGAAATTTTTTTACTACTTAATTAGTCAAAACCGACAGAAATTTTTCATCTACCGATCGCACCATACCACTTAATAAATCGACCTTATGGTATAATTACCCATATGGCTATTAGTTTGGAGGCGACTTCAAAAGTCAAAAGTCAAAACAAGCTTTCACGCGGTAAGAAATGTGCATTAACTGATACTCCAAACATTGTAGCCATTCTGGAACTCAAGGTAACACGATAAGAAAAGGCAGCCAAAAAGAAAAGCTTCAAGATAGTTCTCCGAGTAAACATCCCGGGAGTCCCATGGTGATCCATACAAATTTAGCCAGCTAAAAGAACAGTAGAGAGGTTCAGCAACAAGAGCAAGTGAGCTCCTCTCATTTAAGCTGTTACATCAGGCTTGACCGACTCCCGCCAGGCATACTCCCTCGCACCATCCTTGTCAACGATCTTAATAACGAAGTTTGGTGGTGCCACGACCAATCTCGACCGGATCTCCAGGATGCACTTATCCACCAGGTCGATCGCTTCCTCCACGGTCATCCCGCTGTGGTAGTGTCTGTCCATCATGGCAAGGCAGAAGTAGGAGCCATACCCAAATGCTCCCCTGTCGACCTTGTGAAGGGTAGCAATGTAGTCAATGTAGTACAAAGATGGACCAATCTCCTTGTCATACCCAGCCATCAACACATTCACTTGGTATGGATTCTGAAAATACCAAAGCTAAAATTAGTTCCAAGGCTTTGGCAACGGAGGACTTTCATGCATATAGATGAAAAACAGTGATATTCAACAAAAGTTGAGGGGTGTACAAAATTCCACCCCTACAAGCCCTCCCCCAACTCAAAAGATGACCATTTTCCACGCAAATCGTAATATCCTTACTGCTGTAGGCCATATGCTACTGCTGTATGAATCCTAACAATCTGGAAGACGTGGTAAATACGGGTAGATGTTGGATAGCCAGAAGGCTAAATATGGTTCAAATTTGAAACCTAACAATCAGAGTAAATAGGGTTTGTAGTCGGGTAAACAAAAAGTAAGTATGGTCGACAATTCAAGCCAAACCAACGAGGAAGATGTTCGGTTCTAAGATGGGTACTCTACAAAGTAAATATGGTTTGAAGATGGGTACCCTACAAAGAAAATATGGTTCGAAGATGGGTACTCTACAAAGTAAATATGGTTCGAAGTTGAAATTAAACCAATGAGGAAGGCATGGCAAAGCACACAGTAACTTCCACTGGGTAAAAAATCAACATTGTAAATAGCAAACCCTCATTCCCATCAAGTATTTCATGGTTACTGACCACACTGCCAGTGTTACTGCATCCAGTACACACCACATGGTGTACCTGCTCTCCCTTTACAAAATTACTCTACTCACCTTGCTTCGACAGTCTCAATCCACCTAGAGATTCGAGTACTAGATCATTAAAAGTTGGCTTCAAGCAATCTATTATCCCAAACATCACATATCATACAGACATACAGGGTATCATCGTCCATTCACGCTAACAGAATCAGAAACCTTAAAACCATAAGCCAACATAACAGGGCCACTAATCAACACAAACGCTAAAGAGACAATATATAGTAATGCAACCTTTATGAGACACTCCACTAGCATCCAAATCAAATCCTCAGGGTGGGCTAATCTAATTTCACATTCCTTGAGACTGCCATTTCACAGTGACAGAAGCAAGAACAGGTATCATCATCTCATCAGGCACATAAACACAAGCAGGAGACTTACTACGATTCCCATTCACAAACAATAAGGAATTGAACTCTAGAAATCTCGAGCCCAACAATCTCGAACCCTAGAAGTCAGAACCCAACAACAACCTGATACAACCCAACAATCTCCAACCCTAGAAATCAGAACTTTTTGTTTACCTTTCTCAAAGCAGTAGCCAGCTCTCCCCGAGTGAAATTGGCTGCAGCCGCTGTTGTCAGAGGGATTCCGTTCCTGAACTGATACAAAGCCACGTTCTTCTGGATATACTCCGTGAACTGAACTCTGCAGCCAATTTCCAATGCGTTTCAGACCAACAAACCGAAAAAAGAAAAAGAAAGAAAAAACCACACCATCCGCCGCACCACTGGACGAGAGTTCAAGTACGAAGAGACCCAATTCTAACCGGAAAAAAATAAAAGCAGTTGAATCATGAACCTGTCGCCTGGCTCGCCGCTGGCGGCGACGAGCTTGTGGGAGTCGAGGAGCATGATCTTGTCCTCGTTGGATTTGTGAACCAAGATGCTGTGCACGGCGGAGGTATCCGCCACCACTACTGCGTAATCATTCCCGACTAACCCGAAAACGCACTCCATTATCGTTGATCTGCTGCTGCAACTGATTGGTCTGAGCTTCCCGATTCAAAGTTGCGATCCTTTCTGTTGAGCGAAGAACAAAGGGAGGGTATTCTATTCGTTCCTTCTTGAGCAACAAGAAGCAACGGAAGTAAAAAAAATTGGGGGATGAAGGGTAGTTCAGTCATCTGGCTCTTCCTGTTGGCCTTTCAAGTTTAAAGACGTGGGCCGACGATTATCCGTAGCCCAAACTGAGCTTGTCAGGGCTTTTGGGCTTCAGCACCTTAAAATGACTATAGGTAAAAGGTCTACCACTAAAATTTTCAGCACTTGGTTGAAAATAACAATTCTAGCTCAGCACGCACTAACCACGTCTGTAGATCAAGACGAAATAGAATTGCCCATTAGATAGATATTTTGTAAGGGCTGGAAGGGTTGGTAACCCGTCCTTCCATCCAATATTCTGTTTTTTCCTGGATACTCGGGTTCAAATACCCACGGATTCGCCGTTCGCTTACTGGCTTCATAGAATTCCGAAAACACTTATTTTCTCGAAGCTTCTTGTTGAAGAATAAGTTGGGATAATAGCGATAGCAAGAGTCTACTCTGTTTAGTCTGGGATCCCAAGTCCCCAACGAAGGTATCCGCGGAAGCTGCTTGGTTAGTAGTTTATTCTCCAGCAAAATAACTGACAGAAAAATGTGTGAATATCAAAATAATTATTTATGATTTGTTAGTATTTGTATTTATTTTTGAAATATTATATAGGGACAAATTTATAATAAAAAATACAAATGTTTGTTGTATTTTGAAATTATATCACCATATTAAACAAAATGCATCTTAAAAATATGATCTTTAATATTTAGTGTCTAGTTCTATGATAGTTCATATCGTATACATCCAGAATTTGTCATATACCAAATACCATAGACATAACTTATAAGTTAATATAGTTAAAAAATAACTCATTATGTCCAAAAACAATTGCTCGATCATAAATGGATAATTTTAACAAAACCCTCAATTGTATAGTTTTCTGTAACGGATTACCAATTGGAGGTTTTAGATTCCTTTTTTTGTTGGGTTAAAAGTTAAAAGACGAAAACTGATTCTGCTAAAGTAAAATTAAAAAGGAAACAAAAAAGAAAAATTATAAATGTGTGGCGAATTTTGGTAAAAAAGGAAACATTGTGGGAAAGGGAGAGAAGGGGATAAAAATTTGAGAGGGAATGGCAAGCAACAGAACCCTAGCAGCAATAATCATAGTGGTGCTAATGGTTGCCGCCGCGATGACTGAGTCGTCGGCGGCCAGTGAAGGTGGTTCCGTAGGCTGTCGCATACCTTGCGAGGAAGATTGCAATAAGAAACATGATTACAAGAACAGGGAATATTGTCAAATGACTTGTGCAACCACCTGCTACAACAAACCTATAATAGGTAATGTAAGAGACAAATTTTTATTCTCTTGAGTTCGTATCATGGTGTTAATGTTTTTAGATATATGGTATTATCGTCAAATCACATCGTTATCTGATCTCGAACATTAGATGTGCACTTTTATAAAAATGCATCTAGAGATTGAGGCAATTGAATGATTCAACCTCGGGTTAACCTTGACACCCAAAGTGCTATTCATCCTCATATTTTTATCCAGGCTGAATGAAGATTGTTTGGATGTTTTTGTTTATTTTGCAACAGATTTCATGATGAAATTATTTGCATCCAACCCCAAATCATGAAGAAGACAAGAGAGATTGTAATTTCATCTATGAATTGTTACTTTTTGTTGTCATAATTGGTGGGAAGAGGTAATGCTGGTGATTTTTCTTTCCATTTGCAAGTAATCAACAGCCATTGGATTGTATCTTCTCTGTAAAAGAGGTTCCCAGGAAATGGATGATTCAACAAGCAGTGGAATTGTTATTGCAAATGTAGCTAACTAACAAAAATTCAACAAAAGGATGAGATCTACCACTTTACAACAATATAGTAGAATAGAACACAATACAACAACAATTGGCTATAATATCATCTTTTTCAGAGCACAAAGTTAACCAGGTTTTCCTTCTTCTCTTCACAAGAACCACGACGAGGTTGAGACATGGAAAGAAGCACGTTTAACCTAATCGTCTGAACCTGCATTCGGCCGAAACATATTACTCCTACAAACACAGCAGCAGCAACAAAGCTTTGCCTAATGAAACAATGGAAGTCTGCCTTGCATCGGTACTACCACGTACGTACCTTTGGGAGGGGGAAGCAAGCGACTGGTACAAGTTTGTAGCGCTCTTGAAAACGATCTACTATGGATCGACCATTGATCCCTCATCGAGTTTAAGTCCAAGCTGCCTAACAACAACCCTTTGTCCGCCTGCAATTTCTTACCAAAGCTATCCAGTCTCCCACTAGCCTCTCTATGCAATCCAGCAACAAAAGGCGCCACAGCTAACACATTGTGTCTCGTTGCCACAACAGCTGAATCAAGAATCGAACACAAACACATTTCAAAAAACAAACAAACAAAACAAAACAAAACAAAAAAATGTCAATGCAGAGAGGGGAAAATGTACCATTGTAAGGAGCTTGAATGAGGTGGTTAGCAGGGAGGCCGACCCCTACCCCTGCGAAAGTGAAGCCTACACTGAACCCAACCCCGCAGCCAGCGCCAACGTAACCAATCACCTCAGGGCCGAATCCAGGTCCCCAGCCGACGCCACAGCCGATTCCCAATCCCATCCCCCAAAAGGCTCCCACAGTTGGATGCACAGGGTTCCACTTCTGGTACCTTCCGAATATCCCTTTTATGATCATTTCATTGCCAACTCAAGCCCTACCGAGGAAAGGAAACCCACAAAATCATTTGTTATACAGACTCATTTTCTATCCAAGGCCAACGGACGGACACACACAAGATTTGTTTGGAATTCAAAGGCGTTGCACAGTCGTCATCTGGAACCAACCTGAAATAGGAATATCCTAAGAGATAGATGAAGAGTAGGAGCTATTTACCAAATCAAAGTTCGATCGTTCATCCAGCTGCCTACATCGGGAAGTAGGGAGATTGCTGCGCCGGCGACGGGTTGCTTGCCAAGATTTCTGAGACCTGCCGCCGTCTTGGATGTGGAGGGATGAATCCAACTCGTCTTATCCTTTTTCTTTTGGGCCGAGCCCACCGGGCTGGGCTGTCTTCTTCCCTTTTTTTTTTAAGATAAAGCCCACTGGTTTGTCGTTTCTGCACTACTACCGTCAAAAAAACAAAATTGGATGAAAATTGAAATTGGGCTTAAAGATCAGTATGACGTGCAAATATACCTTTTTGTCCAATTGCAACCGACTTGCCTAAGCTTGAGTCAGTCAGTGTTTAAGGTATTCAAGCAATGGAGCAGCAGTGTTCTGCAGAAGAAGAATCCGAAGCTGATGCGGATTATGTGGAGAAGAAGAAGAAGAAAGAATGGAAACAATGATGTTTTACATTATATCTCTACCGCCTTTATTTCATACGCTGTCGTTTACATTATTATAGTTAGCCGTTAGCAAACACAATTTTATTAGCTAATCGGCCGGTTACATATGGACACCTGTAAGACAGTTGCTAATTTCATTTTCCGCTCTAAAAGAAACAGAGGACTCAGCTGGAAAAACTTGAGCTTCCTCTTCCCAATTACTTGCAAATCCACATGGTATCAGAGTGTGCCTTGCTCTAGGGCTCTTCCTTTCGTGTCCACGCCGCCGCCATGTCTGGGCAAAGCACACCAGCAAGACAAAGGTCGACACAGACCTTTGGAGCAAGTGGGACACTAGTGGGAGTTCAATTCGGGTCATTCAACCAGGAGAATCTGAAAAATGAGACTATTGCATTCGGTAATCCGTTCTGTCTCAACCCGAATGAAAATATGTCTGTATCACTGGTATCTGAATTGTTTGATGGGTCAAACTACTCGATGTGGAGTAGATCTATGCAATTGGTTTTGAAAACCAAGCATAAGATGGGTTTTATAGATGAAACTATACCTATGCCACCTAGAGATTCAAATTGATTTAGTCTTTGGGATGCTATCAATACTATTGTACTCTGTTGGATTCAAAACTATGTTGCCAAAGATATCAGGAGATCTAATCTTAAGCATTGAAATGCTAAAGCACTATGGAATGAGCTGAAGAGAAGGTATGGGTTACCTAACGCTCTGAGCATTTTGAATATGGAAGATGAGATAGGTGACTGTAACCAGGGATCTCAAACCATTAGTCAGTACTACACGAAGGTAAAAGGGTTATGGGATGAATATGTTGAGTATAAACCAATTGTGTCATGTGCCTGTGCACCTGGAAACCCTATGCCATGTGCTGTAGTGGTTGCTTTTATTCAGAAGCAAGAGACAGATTACTTGATCAAGTTCTTGAAGGGATTGAACCCAGCTTATGATATTGTCAAAACACAACTGCTCATGCAAAACCCCTTACCTACTGTATCCACAGCAGTTGATGATCTGCTGCAACATGAGCAAAAGCTAAAAGGTGACAATGTTTCTGGAGGAAAGAGGTCACAAACAATGGCACTTGTTGTTGAAGGAGAACAAGGTAGAAACACTACTGAAGGAAGACAGGGAAGAAAGTTTTGTAGGTTCTGTAAAATGAGGAACCATAACATTGAGGACTGTTGGAAATTGAAAAAGAAGCAAGGAGAGCAGAAGGACGGTACAAGTTCAGGATCCAACTCCAATTCCAGGACACCAAGATTTGCTGGTTCTGTTAATCGATTTGGTGCATCTAATACTCAGTCAGAAGGAGGTTCTACAGGAGAAGGAGGTGGGACTCAAGTACCACTTGAATTTACAGCGGAGGAAATGAACAAACTCAGGTATTTATTACAAGTTGGTTCTAGCTCATCACCTTCACCACCAAATTCCCCATCCATCAACCACCAAGCTTATTATGTTTCTCAATTTCTAAGCCCCTTCCCAAACCATTCAGGTAAATACATATTGTCTTCCTTTCAACAAGCTAAAGTCACCAATCTAGACTTATGGATCCTTGATACAGGTGCATCGGATCATATAGTTTCCCAAAACTATTAAATTACCTTCAGGACTGTTCTTGTATGATGACCTATTAGAGCAAGAGAAAGAAAAAAATTGATTAAGTACACTCGTTTGTCTACAACTGGAGGCTGAGAGTAAGGAAATTTGGGAGGCCGGTAGACACAGGGGAGCGTGGAGCTGTGACTAGGAGTGGATGGGAGCTATGACTCATAAGTGCTTTGTGAAGACGAACCCATATCTTAAAAAATTGAACATGCACTTGTTCATCTCACACAAAACAAAAGAGAAATAATGGGGAAGAACTCGGACCTTGTGCCAGCGAGGACTGATGATGATGTTGATGGAGATTGGAGCTAGTAACAGCGATGATGGATCTCGCGGGATGGACAAGGCGATCTGGAGAAGGTGAAGGCGCTAGAGGACTGGAGATGTGTGGAGAATGAGATAGTTAGATCGGAGCGAAAGGCACGGTCGAGAAAATGAGTCCAAGAAGGCAAAGGTTTGAGAGAACTGAAGAGCTATTTTCGTTCAATTTATTTTTTCTGAAGAGTTTTGGTTTTCAATGGTTTCTTATCTTCGCCCCAAATATTTGGTAAAGTTGGAAACATGGAGCCAAAAACCAGTAGGGGTGTAGAAGCAGTAGTAGTGGGTGGGGACTAGGGAGAAAACGCAAAGAGAGAGAGCTTTTTTTCATTGCACTTTTGTTTTTTTGGTAAAACAATAGCGGGAGTCTCTAAAATTTTAAGATTCATTGGATTGGAGCCAAAAGTTTAGAATTTGTTGGAGCCAAAAACTTTTGACTTGGAGCCTACATTTTGGTAGGGAAAATTTAGGATTGCAGGTGGGAAGAAAATGCGGGAGGTGTGGATTCTTTTTGGTAAACTAATTTGAAAAGAATAGTGGCACAATTCGGCTACTTATTGGGAGAAAAATCTGTCATTTAATTTATTTTATGATTTATTAATCCATTTTAAGTGTTACCCAATCTAGCCATTATTTTAAACTCATTTACCAAAACAATCATCTTATTCAAACCTAAAAACTGGGTAAATTGCGAGGTTGGTCACTAAAAGTGCTAAAAATTTCACGTTTAGTCACTAAAAGTATTTTATTACATTTGTAGTCACTAAGAGTGGTTAAACATTCATGTTTGGTCACTCTCCGTTAGTTCATGTCAAATTTATTTGATGTGGCAGTCAACTCTGATAGTTGATCGTTAAATTACGTGACGTGGCGATTAAAATATAATAAAAATTAATTTTTGTTTTCCATCTCATCAATACAATGATAAAAAATAGAAGCACATACATTTTGAAATTTTCCTCCACCACCCACCAATTATTAATGACCTAGCATTGCAGCCATCATGTCACTAGGTTTTTGGAATTTCCCGTCGATTCAAAAACTAGAATTGGAGTTTGCAGCCCTTGCCTCCTCTTCCTCCAAACTCCACCATCCCGCTCTACTTCGTTCTTGCCCAAAAGCTTTTCGTTCAACGCGGCGACCACGAAGAACCCGAGTATTTCTTCTTCGCCCCCATCACAAACTCGTCGATCCCGATTCATGAACCTTTGCGCCGACCGCCTCCATCTCCATCCTCTGCTGCCACCATGTCATACTTACCTGATTTCCACCTCATGGGTGTAAGAACGCTGAGAAACTGCCCATGGATTCAACGCGACCGAGAAAAGAAGCGGCAGATGCGGCGAGGAGCTGGAGCTGGAGCTTCGAGTGCAGACAGATGGATGAGGAGGATGTAGAAGAAGAAGAAGAACATATGTTTTCCAAAGTTGTTTGTTTCTGGGTCATCGCTACCAGAAAATTCAAATTCCCAAATTTTTACCTTAAAAACCCTAATGTAGCAGCTCTTCCCTCTCCCCTCACATCTACATGGTCCGCACCCTCCTCTTAATTGACGATTCGGCCATGGGCCAGTGGAGAAGCCAACAATGGAGCTGAACTGAAGCATCTGCCACCACTGTTGATGGGGTACGAGACCTGCAACTAATTATATTTTGCTCGGCCTCGCCCAGCCTTCGTCGGAGCTGCAAACGCTAGATGGGTGGTCCTGGTGAGAGGCGGCAGAGGTGAACAGGGGAGGATGGGATAATGATGCCGAAACGTGGGTGGAGGAAAATTAAAAGATTATATCTTTCTATTTTTAATAACTGTAGTGATGAGGTGTAAAATATTTTTTTTATATTTTCATTGCCATGTCACTGATTTAACGGTCAACTATTAGAGTTGACCGCTACATCAGATAAACTTAGCGGCAACTAACGGAGAGTGACCAGACGTGAAACGTTTAACCACTTTAAGTGACCACGAATGAAATAAAATACTTTTAGTGACCAAACATGAATTTTTTTAGCACTTCCAGTGACCAAACTTGCAATTTACCCCCTAAAAACTAATACTCACGTTGAAGATAACTAGACTAACAAAAAGTAGATTTAAATCCACAAACTCATAACCCAAAATTTCAAACCTTCAAATTATGGATGACAAAAATATTCGCAATAGTGGATATCCGCTCGAATTCGACTTAATCGGGTAGGGTGTAGGTACGGATGAAACCCGTACCCGAATATTGTGGGTAATGGGTGGACATAGTTTTTTCACTATCCAACCCGAACTCGCCCAATTATACATAAGCATATATATTTTGTCAAGAAGTTATCATTATTTTCTCAATATATTTTATATTTAGCATAAAAATATAATATTTTAATGAAATTGTGTTGTTTGAAATTAGTTTTCTTCATTATAGTTAATTATTTGTGTACTTTTTCACTTATGTAACATGAGCATACATTTGAATGTTAACATGTTGATTGGAGTTATAAAGAGAAATGATTACCCACGGATAACCGTGGATACCCAAAACCCGAGCGGGTATGGACATGGTTTTGATTTTCTACCCGATTATTACATGAGTATGGGTAAATCCCGAACTACTTTGAGTAGGGTAATCTATGTACTATCCGCCCCCGACCAGACCCGTTGCCATCCTTACTTCAAATTCTTCATCTCAACGAAATGGGTCTACCGTTTGTAGTCGCCGATGAAATTTGGGGTGCCTCATTGTTAAATTCATTTCATCTTAGGTCATTTTTTAAATTAATCTTAATATTAAGTGACAATTTGGATAGATAAATTGTTACATTGTTCACAATTATTAACCATGAGTAATTATTAGTCACATTGTTCACGGTAATTAACCGTGACTAACAATTAGTCACGGGAAAGAAGACTAACAATTTGTTGAATTAAATACTGTGACTAGAACTGTACAATCAACCACAGGAAATTTTCCCGTGACTATCAGTATACTTCTTAGTACGGGATAAATTCCCGTGAATAAGATACCGTGACTAAAAACTAGTTTTTCTATAGTGTGTCTTCTAGACTATTTCAGGTCCCTCTATCTGTCGTAACCCTTCCTCATCCCAACAAATCGGGGTCCTGCACTTACGACCGTATAATGCTTCGTAGGGTGCCATACTAATGCTACTACGATACTGATTATTCTAGGCAAACTCCACCAAGGGTAGATGGTCTGCCTAGGTCCCTCAAACTCCATTGCACACGCCCTTAAATTTCCTCTAGCGTGAGGATGGTTCTCTCCGATTGACCATCACTTTGTGGATGAAATGTCGTGGAAAAATTAAGCTTGGTACCCATGGAAAATTTCAAACTTCTCCAAAACATCTAGGTGAAGTGGGGATCTCTATCAGACACAATAGAAATAGGCACCCCATGCAACCTTACTATCTCTTCTACATATCGCTTGGCAAGATACTCCAAAGTACAACTTGAATTTAGCCGGATAAAATGGGCCGACTTTGTTAGTCGATCCACTATAACCCAAATTTCATCATAATTCTTGACCGTCCTTGGCAAACCATAAACAAAGTCCATTGTAATATGCTCCCACTACCATTTTGGAATTTCCAATGGTTGCAATTTTCCTGTGGGTGCCGGGTGCTCTATCTTCACTCTTTGACAAATCAAACATGTCATCACAAACTTTGACACATCCTTCTTCATCTTAGGCCACCAAAAGTTAGACCAAAAGGTCCGATACATCTTTGTTGCTCCTGGGTGCATAGCATAGGCAGAAGAATGTGCCTCTTCTAATATCTCTCTCCATAATTGTTGAACATCAGGTACACAAATTCTCCCATTCAGTCTCAGTAGTCCATTAATTAGAGAGAAATTATTATCCTTGCCATCTTCGATATCCTTGGCCAACCTTGCTAATAGTGGATCCTTCATCTGGTGCTCCTTAATTCTTTCTTGCAAAATGGGTCGCACCTTTAGTGTTGCCAAAAGAGATCCATCATCCATGACCTTTATTTCCGCATTTAGAGCTCTTAATGCCACCAAATTTTGTTTATGTCCCTCATTATTATCGGTCACTTTCTGACTCAAGGCATCTACCATCACGTTAGCTTTTCCAGTATGATACTCAATTGTACAATCATAGTCATTTAGTAAATCCATCATCCATCTCTCCTGCCTCATGTTGAGTTCCTTTTGCTCCATCAGGTGTTTCAAGATTTTGTGGTCTGTGTAGACCTGAAAGGTTTCCTCATATAGATTAGGGGTGGCTATACGGTCCGGTCCGGTTAAATTGGCCCAAATTGATCCGGTCCAGTCCGGTCTTATTGAAAATATAAGGACTGAAGATTGGATTGGATACAGTCCGGTCTTGATCCGGTCCGGTTTTGATCCGGTCCGGTCCCAATTCGGTCTTGATTTTATATTGATATTGTGGGATTTGAGTGGCCTAAGGCCTTAAAGGGTGAGGAGTTGGTTAAGTTTTGTACTAAGTGCAAAGGTTTGTGACCGTTTATGCAAATTACCCTTAAGTTTTGGGTGTTGAGCTCTCTTATCCGGTTTTTTACCTCAAATCTAAGCCCAAAGATTGGATTGGATTTTTTACTATCCGGTCCCGGTCCGGTCTCGGTCCGGGTTATACGGTCCGGTTTCCGGTTTTTAATCCGGTCCCGGTCCAAATAGCCACCCCTAATATAGATAATGCCTCCAGAGCTTAAGGGTGAACACTACTACTACCAACTCTAAGTCATGTGTGGGATAATTTACTTCATAGGACCGCAATTGTCGTGATGCATAAGCAATTAACCTCCCATTCTGCATCAATACACAACCTAACCCCCTTGCGAGAGGCATCACTATACACCACGAAGCCACTTTGCCCAGCAGGTAGGGCTAATACTTGTGCGGTAGTGAGCTTCTGTTTGAGCTTGTTAAAGCTTTGTTGGCATTTGTTACACCCGATATTTGGGTTCAAGTTCGACCATACTAAATGAATGGTTGAATTGATGACGGTTACGTAGTGAATTATTATTATTATTATTAACAATTATTATTATCATTTATTATGA